CGATGCTCTCGGTAATCACGCATTGTGCAACTAATTCTCAAGGGCTTTAGTCTCACACCTGCTGGTAAAATTACACCTTCATGGTCTGTTTTCATTTGGGCGACAATAGGATAACACCTAGAAAAGAGAGCTTCATTGTTAGTCAAGCAATTGTCCAAAACAGAATTGCCTCGAGTTGGAAAGTCAACCAGCGCTTTTAAACCAGATAAATTCGAAAGCTTTTCCAAGTCAAGCCGGTTGAGGTCTCCTCCACATAGCACTAGTCCACTCGGATGACACTCGAGAAACTGATCTACAATGTCCATGATATATTCAATTAAGTCGTCTTCCTGGTATTTAGATCTTGGTGGATGATAAATACCACACATCAACATATGATGGCCCGATGGTAATTCAATTTCCAGACTGATGGACTCAAACAACTCCGATCTCGAAACCGATTTCACTTTTACATTTTTCCTCACATAAATCGCTACGCCTCCTTTCTCTCGCTTGTCATTGTCAAACCAGTTTCGATCCCTTCTGTGGATAGTATAATTGGATATAGCTACAACTGAGTCCGGCACGATCCTTTTTAAATGTGTTTTGGAAACAACGCAGATGTCGATATCATTCGTAAATAGATCAGCTTCAAGTGCCAAATTGGCTTTAATTCCATTCCGTGTCTTAGTCAAGCTGCAGATATTTAGAAACATGCATTTGGGGACCGCATATTTATCTTCGGTAGTGGAACTAGTGCTTGAGTTCCTGATTTGAGAATGTTTAATTCTTGTTAAGTTGTTGTGATTGCATCCGCAGCTTATCGACGTGTGCCTCTCGACTGGGGTTTTGGTAACCAAAACAGGAATACCATGCCATCTTGTTTTTCGTCCACCTCCACGCTTTCCTCTTTTCCTCTGTAGGTAAATAATCCAGATCTTTTCAGGTCTTCAAAGATATGCGTTTCAATGACAGACTTAGGATAATAGCTTAAACGGAGAAGCTTTGTTTTGGCGGATGCTGTTTTAAAGTTCTGTAAAGGCTATGTGCCTTTGGTGTTAAACTTCCTTGTGTTAATCCAACATCCATGCGTGCTGATAGTCAGTGAATAATTATCCTCAAAACATTCGAACTCGTAACATTGAGTTTTAGCCATGTCTTACATATCTTTAATCAGGACATGAGACCGCTATGCTGTTTTTGAAGCCTGATGTGACTAAGAAAAATAGAGAATTCTTTTTTTCACTGTTTGTTTTGTTAGACTTTTTATTCACTGCCAGTAGCCTCATCTTTGACTTCGGTCTAAACGTTTAGACCCAAGTCAAATTTAGACGGATTTGTATGGAGTCGTCAGAGCATAACTGGGCTAATATGAGGGTTCACAAATGGGGTTCTCAAATCCCGTCATCCCGCTCTATTTTACGCCTGAATACCGATCCCGCCCCATTTAAGAGATTTTTTGCTTGATTATTGAAATAGATGTTATATAAGACTTACCTTCTAACAATTGTCAGTTTTGATGGTCAAGGTTCTCAACATCACGATAAGCGACCATAACTTTATTTTCTGTTTTGCTTATTTTTTCATCTTCCCATCAGTACATTTTTACTTCAATGTTTTAAGTCCTGTATTTTTGGAGTTGGGTAGATTGATGCTATCTGTCTCACGATGATTCAACTGCTTTGCTGCTAGTTTCCATCAGGCGATGAAGCCAATTCTGTCAATTGGTTATGTGGAGTGTAGGAAAATGTATTTAAACACACAGACTGTAAAGACTGAGAAAATGGTCTCTTTCATGAAAACATAAACCTGTTATTGAATCGAATAGCATGACCAAATGCGGACACCCTTCCAAGCAGGAAGTTTGCTTCTCCATCCAAAGTGGCTACCCTTTGATGACTGTAGCGCGGGGCACAAAGTCCATATTCCAGGGTACTGTATATACAAGGATATTGAGGTCATTGAAACTCAGACCTCTCTTGAGTTCTCTTGAACTCTTAAACTCAGGTCGACTCACCTGACTGTTTCTTTTACGACTTTCAAGGTCTTCACTTGCCTTGAAGCAGGAGCTCTAAATTTTTCTTTCCGACGAAACGCATTGCCACTGGTACCTTTTTCGTAATACATAGCCGCAAAATTTATGATGTCTACCACATTGTCGTCACTGTCCACTTCCATCAGTGCAGGTGTGGCCGTACCGTGGCCAGGGTTACTTAACAAACCCTCGGTCCAAAGAATTGTCCAGGTCCGACAGGTCCATCCAGGCAAAAGCAGAAAAGGTCAAATCCGTGAACAAAACAGGAATCAGTGCAGATCTATGAAGGATCTTAATGAAAGTGACCTCTAACCTTAGTGATTTGATACCTCTTTCTGAGTGATGAAAACGAAACTAGCAAAACCGGAAAAGACAAACAACACACAAAAGTGATAATTTGACAGGCCTCACTTCCTTTGACACTCACAGCTTTTCTACATAGGCTGTATACTATAGTGGTCAATAGGAACAAAACAGAAGCACAAAACTCAAAACAGAATCACAAAACCTAACACAGAATCAAAACTGAAAACAGAAACACAAAACTGAAAACAGAATCACAATACTCAAAATTGGTTCATTGGTTACAAGTACGCTACAACCAGTTGCAAAAGTACTTGAGACACTGTATCGTATTTTGGCATAAATGGCCTGTCCATGATCTTGTGCTTGTGATCCCCCATCTACCCCTTATCAAAGTTGCTAGCAATACAAGACCATACTCAAAACTTGGAGGAACAACTTTGAATGAGAGGGAGGAGGGAGGTCAGTATTATATCTCACAGAGCTCTGACCAGGAGTGATTTGAAGTAAGAAACATCGTTTTTTTGTGGGAGTGTCTCAACATTTTTGCAAGTGGATGTAGCATGGTTAAGTTTTTTATTTTTTTCCCTTTACCACGGCATTCACATAACCGTAAGACAGCTAAAATACCTGATTACAATTAAATATAATCTTTCAAGGAGAAATAACAAAAGTGCAGCTCACGAAATATGGAAAGCAGTACGCTATGAATTGAATGGACCAGGCTGTTTAATGGGTTATCGTTCCATGACAAGATGCCTTAGATTTTGCTTTTTTTTTTCTGGAAACACTGGTGAAATTATGCCTCCCATAAACTATTTCAACGTTTTTTTCTGTCAGTGACGTAAATAACGTGGGATCCGCACATCAAACATTTTGTGTAAGAGAGGCGAACGCTGTCAGAGGGCTACAGATACTGATGACCTTGAAAACAATGCTGATAAATCACAGACCATGTATATAAAAAGAGTAATGACACATGTAAACTGAAATGTGCTTTATTTTATCTTTCTCCTATCCTACTTGCCCTAGAGATTAGGACCCAACTTACCGAGTAGTCTCATGTTAAAGTTCTATCTCCAGCAAAAATAAATTATGAAAACACAAGTTTCATGACCCCTCCCTGCTGAGTAAAGTAACTTAGAGTGCTAGGCGCTCTCTGCATCCGATTTCGTTGTTTCACAATAACAGTTTAAAGTGTTGACGCCTGCACGACTCCTGCAGTTCACAAATAGATTGGTCTTAAAACCTTTAAATGAGGGGAGGCTCCTTAAAGATGTTTCTCAGGTATGGTTGGTTCTGAATAAGGTGCCATTTCTCCACGAGTATGTTCTGGAGGTTGGGCAACACAGGGTGGTATTGCATTACAAAGGGTAGAAACTTCTTACGTGCATTTTTGTTTTTCTGTTCTAGGGCTTTCTTTCTGTCTGCGAAAATGACCTCTGAGAGATGTTTTATTACTGTTGTAGCTGGGTAATCTTTATTCTTTATTTTTTTTTATTCCTCATGTTCTCTTCAAAAGTGATTTCAGAGGAATTTGTTCTTAGAAGCCTCAAAGCGTCTCCTTTGACGAAGCCTTTTGTGACGCCTGGTGGGTGACATGAATAGAAATTCATGTGTTGGAATGTCTCTGTAGGCTTGAAGTGTGTTCGCGTGTCAAGGATAGAATCCTTGTTGAATCTGACCTTTTTGGACACTTCGTGTCCGAGAATGTAGTTTCTGTTTCTGATATTTCAGCCGTGAATTTGATTGTAGGATGGAAGTTGTCTGCCTTTACAAGGAATTCTTCTATTTCGTTTCTGCTTGTGTCCCATACTGATATGACGTCATTGATAAACCTTTTCCAAAAGATGGGCTTAATACTGCTCTGTCTGCGTATTTCTTTTTCTATTTTGGCCATGAAGATGTTAGCAAAGGCTACAGCCATTATTGTGCCCATGGCTGTTCCATGGGTTTGAAGGTAATCTTTCTCGTTAAATTGGAACGGGTTTTCTGGTATGGTAGGGACTGGAGGGTTTCCTTGGTGAAATTGTTGATATGCATAGCATACAGTGGTAATACCCTCTTGTTGTGGTATGTTTGTGTATAGGCTTGTGACGTCCATTGAAACAAGTATGGCACTTTAAGGCAGTTTAATCCTCTCAATTAAGTTAGTAAAGTCTGTCGTATCTTTAAGATTCGAAGCTTGTAGTTGTGCTATTGGCTGAATAAGGTGGTCAACAAATGCTGAGATCCGTTCTGCAGGGCCGGAACATCCTGAGATAATAGGTCTTCCGACAGGTGTCGGTTTGTGGATTTTAGTAAGTGTGTAAAACACTGGGATTCGTGGAGGATCAGGTGTAAGGGAGAGCCATTTAGCTGTCATTTTATCAATGTGGCCTTCTGAGAGCAGTATTTTAATAAGTTGTTGAGTTTTTCAACAATTGGTTTGTCTAGAGGTTGGTAGTTATTTGCAGAACCTGACCTTCGTTTAGTTTGTCTTGTCTGCTCATCAATACAGTGGTGTTACCTTAATCAGATTTCTTAAGAATAATGCTTTTGTTGAGCAATAACTCTTTGAGAGCTTGGTGCTCTCCCGTAGATATATTATCTTTTGGCTTGTCAAATTCAATACTTGCGAGCTGTAGTTTTACCTCCTCTAGGAAGGTCTCCAGAGCTACAGATGGCTGAACTAGTGGTTCCCAGTCCGACTTAGCGTGGAAAGGATGAGGTTCGTTTTCTTCCCCGTGAAAAATATATTGTAGTCGCATTCGTGCTTCAAATTGATTGATCGAGAAGCTCTCGCCTGATAAGATTTTCTTTTGTCACGGGTGTAGGGATAAACTTTAGACCACGCGACAGTAGAGTAATTTGCTCCTCTGTCAGTTGTTCATTTGACAGGTTTTTGATATACTGTTTGCATGTCTCAATGGCTTTACAAAAGCGCTTTTTGTCTTTGATTTTCTCCACTCTTTTCTTTTGCAGTTTTTGGCAGCTTTGTTGTCTCTGCGGTTTGCTTTCCCTTTTCCTCTTACTTCTAAGGAGTCTGATAAGAGACAAGAGTAAGATTCACTTTGTTTATTCGCACACACTTGTGATCTCATTTGTTCTAACAATACATCGAATTCACTAATCTTGGTCTTTAACTCTTCGGCTAGCTCGTTTACATCTTCATCTTTGTTGACAGTTTTCTTTCTAGCTGGTGATGGCGTTTTCTGGTGAGACATCTGCTTAGTTACAGTATTCCTGCGCTATTCATGCTGTTCAAGTTTACGAAGCTTGTTTGTTAAACGTTCTGCGCGCCTGTGGTGATATTTCACCAGCGCTCCTATGAGAGCCTGTTCTGCTTTGTTTCTGGTCGAGGCTATCTCGTTCTTAAAGGCTTCATTGGGCGTAACCAGCAGGACGTTGAACATTGTCAATGAGAGAGAGAATAAAAGGCCATTACAATGAGATTCATTTATTATATTACTTTCCAATGTTAAATTCATTACAGAAATTCAGAATGGGCATTATAGGATTTTCATTTCCGCTGAGCACGTCCACTTGGGAATTACATAAACAAAGTAATGAACATTAGTGTGGCGAACACGCTTGACCTGACAAACCATTGTGTAAAAATTCTCTGGTGAAAGATTGAAATGAAGTGGAATTGCTTACAAAAGCTATGTACAAAAAGGGTGCTATGGAATTAACTTGTCCGCAAGAAAGGAATGTCACATGGTCCAGGGTGATGGGTGTTCCAAGTCAGAATGAAAAGTCGAATTTTAAGTCGAATTTTGGCAGCTTTTCTTTGTAGTCCATAACCGCTACTTTATTTAAGATTTCCTCCTCATCAGTGGCAACCTGTTGTTGAATATAAATGTGCATTGTTCGATTTCTTTCACCTCCTTGGTGGCTATCAAATTCCCTGTCCCCGAGCATAGGCACAGACTAAAGGTGGTTCTCTCTGCCAACAAGGCATAAAACTTGCTGTTTGCTGTGAGATGGTCATTTCTAACCTATTCCTTTGTTTAAAAGGTGCATTTTCCCACCCAATTTCAGGCCACCAGCACCCCCTTACACCAAAATACATGGCCAGCAAAGACACAATTGCTGACCATATGTCTAGTTGTAAACATTGGACTCTCTCTGTAAGAGGTGGGAGAAGGGGTAATTTCAAGGAGGCAGAAGGAGTATTTGAGTAGTGTTCACTCCACATGTTGTGAAAATGCTACCCCTTCTCCCAACCCTTTCAGAGCTAACCACACAGGCTGGTCTAATTTGTGAGTCATATATAGTTTATATAGAAGGTAGTGACCTTAAGGCGAAAGTATTGTTGACACAAAATAAACAAAAAAAAAGCAATTAGTAGGTTTTGAAACTCATGTTAAGAGGAAGCAATCCATCAATAAAGAAACATTGCTTGTGTGTTCTGTATGATGCCAATTTGGTCATGAAGATATGTTTTACATCACTTTTCAACTAGGGACAACTGTTTTGCTTACAATCAACACAACAGTTTATTGTTCTCAGCCAGTAAAAAACCAGCTGAATCAATTTTCTAATTTTTCTTCATATTTTGCAACATCATCTTCATCAACTGATTGTTTTGTTGTTGCCATTGTTGCTGCAGCCCACTTTGCTGTTGAAGCTGTCTCTGAATGGATTGCTGCACGGTGCTGACAGCATAATTTTGTGGGCCTGTTGTTGTCTTATACTTCTCTGTTCCTTTAGTTGGTCCTCTTGCAATTTGTCTATACCTGTCGGTTAGAATGATTAATTAGCCCAATGGGATCTTTATGAATTTGCAAGTATTGAAAAAATATCATTTGTTAAAGATTCTGTACATAAGTTGATCTCTTCCGTGCTCTTATCCTGCTCATTGATCAGCAATGCTGGCACTCGCTGTACACCCTTCAGCTGTTCCTTTAGGTTTTGCTGCAGATCTTTCTTTAATCGTTCATCATTCAATGCTCTTGCTAAACATTCAGCTCTCAGCTCTGCCACAGTCATGTTTTGAAGGGCTTGATTCCTCTATTTCTTTTCCTTCTCCAGCTGGTCCAGCCCTAACTATTTTAATGCGATCTGCGAGGGATAGATGTGGGGACCTTAAGCGGTATGTAAGGTAACGATATCTGTGCGAGTCTCCACTACAGCCACTGCAGCCATTGTTGCCTCCCCGTTGCTCACCACTTTCAAATTGCTGCCCTGGCCCATTGGTATGGAAGAAGCGCATGATGTCTGTCACTGGGCATCCCTTACTTGTCAGCAGGTTGTTTTGCAGCTCATCCAAACATTGGCATCTTGTCTGACTGTAACCCAACTGCTTGACGTCTTTTCCAATGCACCTCCCAAGGATGTATATGTGGGGCTTCTCAACTAGTGCAGGAACATCAATGACACCATATCCCCTGTCCTTCATTTCTGCTGTTTAAGAAAAGGCTGGATCATACACACACTGAATGATATATAGGAGGAAGCCATGGTTTAATATTGTTGAACCACCCCCCCCCTCCCCCATACCATCAAGTGTCTGGTTCTCTCAAACCTGATCAGCCATTCTTTTCTCTGCTCTGGACTGTCTCGCAGATGGTTCTTATCATCCCCTAACACTTTCAGCCGTTCTGTTATCTGCTCATGGCTCATCTGCTCATACTCCTGGTTCGTATGTCCTCTCACTACCCAAGCTGTTCACACCTTTCCAGATCCCTTTTTATATTTTCTGCTAAAGGTATTTTCCTTCCAGAAACTGTGGAAAGTACTTCGTTTAAAGTGCCATCACTGTTTAGGATTAGTTTCTTGTGTTGCTTGGGCACCACCAACTCACCAATTGTATACCCTTCTGCTTCAAAGTTGACCTAAAATAAATGGGAACACAAATTAAATTCAAACATAAATAACTTATATTTTGTTGCAACTTGATTCTCTGGGGGGACGGGCTTCTCTTGTTACATGACTGTATACTTCAGTTTAATAATTCATTCCTTGAATTTAACTTGTTTTTTGTTAATCTTCAATTTTGGTCATGGTGTTGACTTTTTATACATATCTTATTCGATGATCTTTACGTTTAAAAACGGGTAACTTACCGTGAGTGTTTCTTTGATTTCTCTGTTTGTTTTAGGTGTTGGAACAGGGATCTCCCCTCCAAGCATTTTATTGAGCCTCTGTCTTGGCCTTGCTGGCCTTTTGTGGAACTGCTGATAGCATTGGAGGTTCACCGCCTGTTCTATCAGGAACTCTTTGACAATCATGTTACCCAGTTTTTTATCTCCAAGGCCATGTCGCCTTGTAGGGTCTGAGTAATTGATCTATGGAAAAAATTGCCTTTTATAAATATAATACTTTCTGTGTAGCTATGAGGCCCAACAATATAATAGAAGTTTTAAAACCTTGCCATGTGGTATGCTTAGCTGAAGTGGGGGAGGGGGTTGTGAATAAGAACTCCCAAAGTTATTAGCTTTTGAGGGCCGTCAAGGTATTTATCATGGGAAAATTATAATAGTGTAGATTGTAGAAATAAAGTATCTATGTTTAAACTTCTCACAGGGGTAGGATATGTGTATGCATGCACATAAATGTGTGCATGTAGGGAAAAGGGTGGGGTTGGCTGCAACTCCCTCAACCTAGGCCTCCCCTAGATGTGCCCTTGAACCTGATGCTTTTGCCTAGGGACAGTTAGATACTGTCATTTGAAACAATTCACTCCCCTTTTCACCGTCTTCCATATTTTGTACTCTTGTGGGAGGTTTTCCCTCTCAAAGTGGACTGAAGCTGGTGATGGTGAATGGCACTTGGGTGTTCTTTCTCCAAGGTTTTCCTGGATCTTACGTTTCTGAGCCCTCAACAATGCCTCTGTGGAGATCTTAACCTCTGGGTCAACGACGGCCTTGTTCCCAGCATCACATCACAGTCTCTCTTAGCCCACTGATCCTGAATTTTATTTTTTTCTTGGTGAGCTTTCTCTAGACGTTCACGTTTTTTTCTCTATTGCATCTGTCTTGTTTGTGGTTGTATTCCTATAGCTTCTAAATCCCAGAATTCTGATAATTTCCTTTCCAACGCCCTGTTTTTTGACATGTCATTCGTTGATTGTATATTGATGGTATGCGTATGAGTGTATGTAAAATTGAGTTGTTTCAAATTTGAGTCGGATGCCCTGTGCACAGTTCCAGAAAGAACCCAGCCAACTTTGGTTTGAGGAACTGTTGGACCACTCTCAATCCGCTTAATAGTGCCTGAAAGGAAATGGGCACAATTTGATATTAAAGGTGGGGGTAATGTGAGGAGGTTTATTGAGAGCAGAAATGAGCAAGTGAGATCTACCAGGCTGGGTGTTCCAGGCTATTATAAGGACATGTCCATATGAGAAAACAGCAGTTAAAGATGCCTGCTCAGAACAAAAGCAGAATATGTGAAAGTGCAGCGAATAAAGCACAGTGAATGAAGCCTCAATGTTATATACTGTGGGTTTCTCTGGCAACACTCTTGATCATTCTTGATCTTTTTGCGTGGTCTGATGTGTCCTTTTGCCTAAACTCAAAACTGGCCATCAATTTAATGCCTTCCTTGGCTATGTCCTTAATTTGCAGGTTGCTATTGGTGACAACAAAAGCCCATTAATGACTTGATCATGTTGTCAAGAAATCCTTTGGTGGTACTTAACAGCTCTCTTGAAGACGGCCTTGGGGGATTGTGAAGTTTGATTTTTGCATGTAGGGAGCTGCCTTTCTTTTAATTTTTTTCTGTTTATCAGCCATTTTGCTAGTGTGAATGAAGCAATACTATTGAAATTGTTAAAATAGAATAAAAACACGAAACTAGATCAGGTAGAACAGGAGCAGGGGAAAAAAAACTGCTGACTGCTTACCCATAAGGGGCTACTGACTACTTGCACAAGTATTTGGGAACATCAAAGGAAATAGTAAGCTAAAGAAAGTACGAATACCACATGGTACTACAGATATTAGTGTGTTATAAACTGTAAATGTGGCTACAGAAAATGGCCGAGACATCTCCCTTTACGACAAGAAAATATGGAAACTACTTTGTCAATATCCACATTCTTGTGCCTATTTGTTTGGAGTATTGCCAAAGAAGACAGCCTCTCCTCACTCATAGTGCTTCGAAGGGGGGTTTTTAGTCTCTTCATGCCCCTTAAACTGCGTTTGGCAGCACAGGTTGACACAGGATACGTTGGCAAAGTGACAAGAGTGACATATATCCCTGGATAGAACTGGGGGCTTGTGCGATCAAGTGTCCCATTTCATAACTTTTTACTTAATGCGAAAATAATGAAAAATCAAAATTGAGAATTCTAGAAGCCCTTAAAACCTTTTTAATATTATTTGATTAAAGGAAGCCACCTTGTGTTGGTTCCGCTTCATTGATCTTGTTAATCACAATCCAGCCAAAGAAGTGCCTTATTGAACTCTTGGCCATTTACTTCATTTACCAATCAAATGTCAACTGAGCACCTTGAACACCTCATGAACTTATAAGTTCTGACCCGAAATGACTGTTTCACTCTGCTGTCAAATCGGGTCACACTCCTTTGTGGACTTCTCAGAAAAAGGAAGAAAATGACTTCAAGCGGTCAAAAGGTCGAGTCTTGGCATTGTGATTGGTAGTATTAAAATGAATAGTGCAATATTCACAAAGTTCTCTTTTCGTAAAATAACAGAGAAGCAATACAAGAGAAAACTCTTGTATAAGTAAAGGTCGCATTTTGCCTAAACATCTATAAATAAATAAAGAAGTGAAATGAAGAAATGAATAAAATAAAATATAGCTTCAAATGGGTTCCACAGTGGTAAATCCAGAGTAGTGCTCGACAATAATTGAGTGGAAAAAGCAAAGTTTTTGTACTCAATAGTGCTTCTTATGGACTTTAATACAGAACTATTTCGTAGGCCAACAAGCAGTAGTCCACTCATCAGTTAAATTCCATAGACACTCATTAACAATGATAATAATACAGGTTCTTATTAAGTGCATTTCTGTCCCCAATGCGCTTTACATTACGATAAGAAAAAGAGAAAAATAAGAAAAATCTCTAGCCTATGTGACAAACTGTACATTAAGTATTGTAAACTTTAAGTGGTTGATGGCTTTGAATAAGGTTTCTACTTCTCTGTGGTTAGGTCTTATGTTACGTCAAGGAAATTGACGACTTTTTTAGTGTGCAGGTTGTTTGTGGTGAACACTTAGCAGATTTCTTTTTTAATCGTTTCGATTTTTTGTGGGGTTTGGTCAAGAACTGCTAAGCCGTCATTTCTGTAAAGCCCAATTTCCATGCCATAAGACTTCTCTTTTAGTTGCAAGAGGATGTAGATTCCGATTAATTAGCATGTTTCTGCTCCATTGTAACTGCCCATGGTGACGTTGAAGAGTGTGTTGGTGTTTGTCTTCTGCCAAGGGTTTCTGTTGTTGAAAAGAAGGGACAGTTTAGCCTCCAGGATTATGTAGTGATAATCATCAGAGATGTTCACGTAATTGGTTACGAAGTCACGGGCATGCTCGAGTGGTGTCTCTGATATGGGAGAATAGAATTCCACTACATTGAAGCTTATGAAGGCCAATTTTGTTTGCTGGGCAACTTTTTTAACCATTGCAACACTGAGGTGTTTTTCCACTGATTTACTTTCGTGACACTCGGCATTTTCTTGTTGTTGTTGTCAAGGATTTGTTTGTTAATTTTGCTTATCTCCTGTTTTGACGAGTTAATTAATCTGCACATGGGTTTATTTTCAATATTGTCCTTGTAATCCTTCAAGGTGATAAAAGCTTCTTTTGTGGCATTTGTTTTGACACAGTTGTCAATACTTAGTTTCTGGGTAATTAGTTTAGCCTTGTGAATTTCGTTGAATTGGTTTTTCTTCGCCTCCTTGTAGGTTTTTGTAATGTTGTCATTTCGGAGGTGATGGTTCTTCGTGGCTTCCAATTTGTAGAGGTTCGTGGATTTATCAGCCTTCACAAATAAATGGTTGTCACTTTTAATGGATTTGATATCTCCAGCGAGGTCTTTTTGAAACTGACACTTGACATTCTTAAATTTAACTTTTTGGATAATATTCATCCTGCCATGCTCAAACTCCTTTAGCTCCTCAGTGACTGGTAGGTTGTTTTTGGTCTTAAAGCCAAAATGTTCTTTTCCTACGACACAGAACTAAGCAATCATCTATGGCAGCTTAAGGATGAAACGATTTTGCGATCTGGAAAATTCTGGCCAAGGCTAAATCTATATCAATCCCAAAAAAGGATGTAACCTATGTAATGCCAAGAAATTCTATATGTTATGTAGGCCGCATGGGAACACTTAACAAAGGAAAAGAACTTGTCTCAACTTGCAGGCATGAGGGAAAGTTCCTCCTCAATTGCATCCTTAAGAGCCAATCGTAAGTTTCCTATCGGGTTTTTGTTTTTGTTTTTAAGTTTCAATTTCATAAGGGCTTCTGTGAAGATCTATTGCTGGTGTTCATAAAATCGAGCGTTAATTCAGTGTGTATAGAATTTAACTGATGAATGGACCAATGCTTTGGTTGTCTAAGAAACAGTTCTGTGTCCATATGAAGGAATAGTGAGTAGAAAAGCTTTGTTAAAGTATAATATATATATTTAAAATTTCTGAAGTATGCACATCTGCATATATTGTCGCTATGCCCCTGGATATAATGGAACTCAACAAGGATCTTGCAAGTTGTAGCTCGCCACTTGGTAAAAGAGATTTCTTTCATTTTGAGGAATGTTGATGTTGTTTAAAATGAAAAGCTGTAATGGCGTCAAGTACGAAAAAGTAATAAAATGATAACAACAATATTGAAGCACTTAAATGTTTTGACTTAGGAAACCTTTTAAGGTTAAAAAATTGTCAATTTTAACAATAATTTAAAACTTGTCTTTATATTTTACGAATTTCGGAATCGACGTTTTACTCAGCCTGTGACTTAGTAACAATATTTCGTGCATTGTAAGAAATGTTCAGGTTCCTTAAAATAAGAGCTTTTGAACGAAATCAATGGTGTTAATAGTTTCATGACCAAATTGTCCAAGGAGAGTTTTTGAGCAGTCTTCAAATATCATGAGTGTATTTTTCTGAACTTCAGTAAGAAGGACCACAATGGCATAAAGCTTTGTTGGTCAGCTGGATGCCGTTATCATGTGTGACCATTGATCACATTTTACCACTCTTTCTTAGATTTGAACAACTCGCTTACTACAGTTGCAGCAAGCTTTGTATTTCTGAACATCCTCTATTGTGTGGATAGATGACACATGAATGACATGCTCATTAATTACTTTGTTTGTGCTATTTTCGATGCACTAAGGTGAACTGAAATGAAGGTCAAAAGTTCCTATGATCGCTGTATTAATGGTGGCAGTTAATTTTTTACATTGCTCCAGTAGCTGGTGGATCCGTTGGTAAATGGGTATGCATAAATTTCTTGAACTTGAGTGATCTGTTCATTCCATAAATCGAGTTGCCTCGTGTCAGTTTCATCTAGGATAAGGACTTAGCAACTGTCTTTGTTCTTCCTTGGTTAAGGATAGCCTGTGAAGGATAAATCTTTGAGTTTAACGCATACTGTAATGTAATCTTCTAGGGAAGCATTGTCATTTGAGAGGTTGACCAGTGGTGTTAGGCTTAATGTCAGCTTCAGAGTACTGGAAGTTGTATTCTTCGTTGTTTTGCACTGTGATGATAGTTGTACACTTTTGGTTTTCTCTGTAGATGTTGTGTAGCACGCAATTTTTATTGGAGACCTTGTGGTTGCATTTTCTTTTGCCATTCGCGTGCTTGGAATTGATGCTGAATGTTTCTTTCGTACAATTAAGGTCAAAAAGACTTCTGCAAATATTGATTAAACAATGTGAAAAAGGCTACGGTATACAGTGTTTAATACAACTGGCTAATGCCAGTCTTCATCAGGTTTGTTAGGAAAAAACATGAATATACAGAATATATACTACTGTAAAATAATAAATGGAAATTACGTGGTGAAGATTACATAATAACTATAGTTTGTCATGTTTTTTAATTCCTAGAGACTCGATGGTTTTGGCTTTATGAATGAGGGGTGCCTCACGTGCTTTCCTAAGACAATTGCATTCATATTTAAGTGTTTCAATTGTGATAAGTATCCTATGGGAAACAGAGCGACTATTGCTGAGAAAGTGTTCTGAAACTGCGGTTTCGATGTAACTGATGCACTGATATTGATTATAACAGGCAAGTTAATTAATTATCAAGAATTTAATATATTGTTGAAAAGTTTAATAATATTATTGTAGATATTAACAATAATTACTCAGTTCTCTAGAGTATTCAGTATACTTTTATTTACACTTTTCAATTGCACTTGAACAATGATTATATCATTCTATTTTTTTGAAAAATAGTTTTTGTAATATTTATCTTCATGGTCCTCCTCTGAAATGCAGTAAGGAATAGAATAACATTGTTCATTCCGAACATTATAGTTATTACTTAGGGAACAGTGACTGCGATTGATACACCTTGGGACGGTTAAGAACAAGAAGACTTCTTGACCACTCTTTAAAATCTTGGATGCACTAAAATAAAAAGGCATTAAGGAATTTAACAAAAACGACAGTTGTAATTCAAATTATGGAAACTGTTGCATTGAGTCAAAGACAAATAATTAACAATTTGTTCCAAGAAACTATTGCTATTAAGCCTTGTTGCTGTTATTAGTGTTGCATCAAAATCAGTTGAGAAACTGTCCTCATCGTGACTTGGAGCCATGTCCATCAAGGTAGAATCATCCAGCAGTTCTACCCAGTCCACATCAATGTCCATACCTTCCATTAGCTCAATATCAGGTTCTTCAACTTGCTGTATGTCACCAAAACACTGGCTGATGATGTTTATAATGGCAACTGCATGCTCTTTGCACCACACTTCAACTTATTTACAAATATCCTGTACAGTAAAATTTTTTCAGCAATTTTCCAAAACCTGCTCTATAAAAAAGTCACCAAGCTCAAGCAGTACATTTGGACAACTAACAAACTGCCATTTTGGTAGTTGTCCAAAGGTAGTGCTTCGGGTCTAGTTCATTTAATTGTTTGTTTACTTCGTCTGTCCTGTACCTTTTTAGGGGCATTTTTAAGTAGAGTTTGCTTTCTGAAGACAGGCCTCTCTGTAAAGTGTGATGGTCCGAGTAGTTCAACAGTTTCTGACATTTCAAAACAAAATGCCTCTAATCGCACAAACAATTTGCAGCACAGTTGTTGCAGCACTCATGTTTATAAGGGGTGACTTGCTTTGGTTTATTATTGAATGGTGCAAACAACACTTCCCTTCTGCACTGATCAGTTTTACAGTACTTTTTTATATCTTCCACACAACGGTTTTTAAGTATCCCATTGTAGAGCAGAGTACAAACAGTAGGCAAGCCATCTCTTCTGCCCCTGCCTCTTCCTTGCACGTAACATTCCAGGTTCTTTGCAGGACCCATATGGTAAATCTTCCCGCCTTTTTTGCAATTTATATCCCCATTCTGAAAGCAATTGTTTTATTAAGGCAGCGGATATGGCCATCATCACAGGAGAGGTTCTCAACAATGTGCTTTTTAATGGAAGAGGGGGTCCATGCATGGTACATTTCTACCATTCGGTTTTGGGGCTGTTTACTTCCACTAAACAACTTTTCACCTAAAAAGAAAGTGAATGTTCTGAAGATCACTGCCCGCTGCTTGCATGTATGGTAGTAAATCATTGCTCGTTCTGCCATTTTACTATGTATACTATGATTCCTTTCATGGCTTCTGCAAATATTTTTTCAAATGGATGGCTCTTCTGTATGTAAATGGCACTGTACTTCAGATTTGAATGGTCAGGACTCTTTTCAATAACCACAGTCTGTGGAGCAAGGTGAAGGGTTTCAAAAAATTTCTGCCTTGTAGACTTAGTTGCACTGGCAGTTACTACAACTAATTTGGCCTCCCTTGGGAGGAGTGACCTTAACTCTGCGAGGTTTCCAAACCATCCACGAAATGGGACACTTCTTTCCTAGCAAGACCTGTGTAAGAAATATAAAATGCGATTTTAATTAAAAACAATCATTGACTAAATTTCCATCCAGTAATATACTTTGTTCACCCCCACATGTTGCCAAATTGCACAAGTATTATCAATTTTTCTCTCGATGAGCAGTCATCCCAGAAGGAGTTAGCTATGAGGAGTTAGCCATGTGCTTGCATGTTTCACATTTCAACCCATGAGCACCTCCAACAGAAACTATCAAACTGGCAGCCAGTGAAAAGCTATTATATATTTTCTTGCAAAAGGAGTGACGTCACATAACATGATTCATGTCAGCCTTTCGTAGACACTCCCTCTCTCCATTTTTCCTTTTTCGGGGGGAGGGTGTGGCTACACGTAGGCTACATAAGTTTGGTGAAGAGATGGGGGGGAAGAGCCCCTGAGCCAAGCAGCTAAATTGATACAGGTTTCCCTGCTATATGAATGTAAGATATTTTTGGTGCTTTTTGGCAATAGGCACTGAATAGTAGGTATCCCGTAGGTTATGGATGCCATGTAACAACAAGGTCTCATGAGTTGGGAACAAGTATGGATAGAATCCATTTTAAATGATGAAACAAAGGTATTAACATCCTTTAAGTTAAGGATAATACGGAAAGACCCATCTTTTTTAGGCCTCCAAAATATATTTGACACAAACTCTGCTTCCTCAAGGGAGCTTTTAACTATGATCCATTTTTGTAGGAATTTGGATATTTGTGCATTGACATTTACACTGTCCTGAGCTGAAAAATTAATTGTCCTTGGGATGGTAAACTGTACTGGGGTAAGGAGAAAGTCTGTTTTGTATTCCCTTACAGCATTCAAGATGCTGGGGTCTTATCTTACTGAAATTTTGTCCCACACTAAGCTGAGATGAGGCTCTACTTTTATTTTCCTCGGTAAATAGATTCCAGGCGGGCAAACAATCTAAGCAATACCCTAGGAAAATTGATAAACATGCTTCAAATGCTTTAAAACACCAATTGTGAAAACAATGAGAGAAATGGAGAAGAAGTGTTTAAGTTTGAGGATTTATATAAGCTTAAACTGAAATCAATTGTATTAAGCTCAACTTGCTCTTTCTGAACAATCACTTTTCTTATTGCACCTCTTTTTCTTTCTCGAACTTCTACACATGGAGTGTTAAGCAGCGTCAGCACGTTAAAAAAGCTGACCTTGCAGCACCGTGAAAAAAAGATGGCCATTCACATATCATGCATATTAGTTGGAAGAACAACAGAATCTCAAAGAATGTGAGCAGAGAATGTGAGAAAAATCTCGCTATACAGTTAATAAAGTGCCGCTGACCAAGTCAAGATTAGGCTGTGGGCTCCTCTTGCCGTCCGCAATTTACAATACAATGGGTTTCACAGACAGAGTGTGTGGGCCCCGTGCTTACACCAGTGGGAGAGCTCAAGAAACTTAAAAATGCCTATTCTAAGTGGTCCCCCTGATTTCACAGAAAGAGCAATTTATCAGCTTTAATCAGTATTTTAAACCTGACGGAGATACTACCATGCCAAACTAACTATAACGTCAAATAATACAAACTAATACTTTGTTTGGCGCAGTGGAACAATGCAATGAATTTCAATTAATCTGATAGGCATTTGTCTCGCATTCCTCTCCCATGGGGGATACAAAGACCCGAAGAATCCCAAAGGACGCCTATGTGGAAGGCTAACAACAACAACTTGGATAAATGCATTTTTATTCACATATAGTTAAGTGCTCAAGTTTTGGCTGGAATACCTTACTGTGTTTGAAAACATACAATTTGAAGGAAGAACCAGGTTAACTGTGACAATAGCAGTCCATTTCCCGAAAATCTACAAATTCTGTTAGGTATATCTGATCCATTCAAAGAGAAATACTTACAGAAAATTATAATATCACAAGTTTGTAACTATAGTTTAGCCTTTGTAATAATAAATAACCAGCCACCCTCTGTGAAAGGAAAAGTGGCTGCTTAAAAGTGGTTCTATTTTGATACAGCAAATTGCTGACATAGTTTAACTTTTATCCGCAGGGTATGCGGTGACTGCTTACTGAATTAAGAGTAGCTACATAATAACAGACCTTTTTGAAAGAGGTTGTCTGCACTTAGGCTTTAAATTTTCTTTTACATGTGTACCTAATGGAGAACAATATTTGGCAAACTGTTATCATTGGATGCCATTATTTCTTACAGGGCTTTGCTTTGCTGACCCACGCGAACTTACAGGCTCTTTTTATTTTTTTTACCAAAGTAAAGTATTTGCTACCCTAGATATCATAAGCTCAGGACTTCTGTGCCTCTAGGCCTTTTCAGAGCCACAGCCTTGCCTCTGACAGGAGGATTACCTAGAGATACAACGAACACCTTACTGAAAAACTGACACAAAACAAACTCTGAGTTAACAGTCAGGTCTAAACACAGTCTTATTGATCATTCTTCCAAAAGCTTTCCCTAGCTTACAATGAAAGTTTCCATAAATACCTGCTCCTAGGCCACACACACTTATATGTGGCTTGTTGCTAAGATTTTCTTGACCAACAAACCGTAGTTTTTGGCAGGGAGTGATGGAAGCTTGTGGGCTTGTTAGTTTTGTTCCTTTTTACAGAGCTCTTGCTACTGAGAGTCATTTTAGTTGTATATCTCTAAATTCATAGCATAGCAATAACAAAGAATGACTCTGCCAACCAACCAAAGCACAAACTTGGGTGAGTTCACCACCAGTCACATTAGTGTTCTGAATCAAATATGCTTAGTAATCGGGCAAATTTCTTCTTCATCTGTTTGAACCAAAATGCAGTGGAGGTTTCCTTGCACATACATCTTGTGCTTGTTTTCAACTTTTGCAAGTTGCAGGAAGCATCAAAATGTCCTTAATCAACACAAACGTTCCATGTATACTTTCAACCGAAGCAAGATTGCTCTGTTTTGCCATAATCTTGTGATAATGCTGGTACTTATTAATCACCCGCAATTCCAACATTAATAAATTTGGTACTAGAAGTTTTGCTAATTAGGAGCTTTTAGAAATAGATGGCATTGCTAGATTTCCCAGCGAGCAAGTTTTGCACCTCCATTGGAATCTGGCAAATGTAAAAACATTGTCAGTGATCTGTTGGCATTCATTGTGGAACCTCTTTTAGCACCCTGTGCATTCTGCCATTTTGTCTTTGGGTGGGGTTGTATCGCATTCGGCATTCACAGTAGACACTGATTTTGACAAGCTTGTTTTGATCTTGTGACCTCCTCTTGGCAAATAGGAACATACTCAAGTGTCCAGATTGTAATGCTTACCAAAGTTGATCTCTAATTGCTCGTCTGTTGAACTTACGAGATGTTGGGTCTACGTTGTCACAGAGGACTGTGGCAAATGCTATGTCATATACTCCACAGTCAATTCCATTAGTCTGTTGAACAACTGGTGGAATAGATACCTCAAGATGGTCAGCATTATCAACAAAAGGAACGGATGCTATCTGCTCCTCACTCTGGGGAGATATGCCATGGGAAAGGCTGTTATATAAATTGATTTTGTTGTTCCCCTTACATCCAATAGTGCTCACGGTGACCCAATGGAGCCCTCCAGTGTGAAGAACTTGGACAACTTCCTGTCTCATTGCCAGAAACTGTCGGACAGTTGATAGTGAAGGTGACATCAGTCCCCCTGTGTGAAGAAATTGGCCATGTAACAGCTCCTGTGCCATTTGAATGTGTCTGTCGGTAAGCATTGCAGTTTTGCTTATAGCACTATCCTCTGGTTCCAGGTTAAACTTTGCTTCTGAGGATTGCTTGCTCATCCATCTGACAAAGTTTTATAACCTTTACCTCCCTGCCCTGTGCACAGTTTTTTCTTTTCTTTCCAAAGTTTTTTTTTTCTTTTTAGTTTTCTTGTCTAATTTTATATTTTTTTAGGTGTGCCATGAACTCTCCCAATTCTTCCTCACCACCAAGGGATAGGAATGTTTCTGCCTCGTCATAGGTCATATCTAGTTGATGGCAGCACGGGTGGAAAAGTGCCTCAGGCAGCAGTACTTCTGTTAGGCACGTACTTTGAGCCTTTGGAAAATGTTTTGCAATTAGTTGAAGCATAGCATAAGCTTAGTTTTCATCAAAATCACCAAATGTGACATTAAATTTCAAGTCATATTTGCAACGGTTTCAACCACTTCCAAGGAATTTTTTTAAAGTAAAAGTTGTATCGCCAGCTGTTCTTAGTCTCATCAAGTGTGCTTGACAAAACACCCACTGTGACTTCATTGGAACTGGCAATGATGTCCTGTTCAGTTATATCCTTCCATTTTATTACTAAAGCTTAGGAAATCTCTTGCTCCATTGAAACTTCGTAGTAGAGGGGCCTGCTTAACAACTTCTTCACCCAGGTTGCTTGATGTTGAGGACGGTTGTGCTATAGTTGCTCCGATGGACTGATGTGTGTTTGGAACAGGTTCTGCTACCCCTGCTCCTCTCAAAAAAGTCGTACTGTTTTTGAAAATTTCTGCGGTTTTAATGCTGTCTCCACCCTTTTTGAAGTCTATGAATACCAGAACAGCCTTCAAGTTATGACTTTTCACACCTGCAATTAGTTGTCTCGCTGCGAATATGTGTGCTGTTGTTGACTGTCCAGGACGAAACCCCTTCTGACTGGGTCATAGGTGTTAATCGATTTTTGACCTGATTCTGTTCAAGATCATTTGTTTACAAATTTTGCAGCAATGCAAGAGAGAGATATCCCCCTGTAGTTCTCCATTCTTCCTAGGTCACCAGCTTTCAGCATTGATATAAGATCGTATCTTACCAATGTTCTGGCATATCTCCATCAAGCAGTTTGTTCGCAAAAGCAAGGATGATATTGTCCAAGTCACACTGTTTAAGAACTCTCGCAGATATACCATCATGTCTACATGCCCTCCCTTCCTTGATAGACTTCTTTACCGCTGTGTATTCTGCTTCAGTGAACAGACTGTCTACGATCCCCATACCTCATAAGATAGGTGATATTGCGTCCAGCTCTCCTTCAACGGTACGTTCGTCTGCCAGAAGTTCTTTGAAGTGGGTATACCACTCATTGATTCTGTCTTCCTTGTCCGTAGCCTTTTTGATGCCTTTCTTGGCAGTCCTCCTCCCAGTTATTTCATTGAACAACCTCCAACTCTTTTTGTCTGAATTCTTCATCAGCTGTCTCAACTTGCCTGATTATCTTGTCCAGGTCTTCCATTTAAGTATTATACTGCTCATGCAATTTGCCCCTATGTCTCTCCACCTCTTCTTTGTTATTCTTAGTTGGACTCCAATAGTATCTGTCAGAGGAAATCTGCAATTCTTCTCTTGCCTTGGCCATTCTTGGATAATCTGATGCTTTTGTGATACGATCTTCTTTTCCTCTCTGGTCAATGACAAACCCTTCTAAATTTATGGGGTTCTACGCAAAAAAACGATTGAGAAGGGTTTGTATAAAGTTTTCTTAGCATAGCTGGGCTAATATTTGCCCCGAAATGCTTATTTTTGGCCATTAGGCCTCTTGGACGTTGTTCTTTCGGAATATTGTGACAAATCCTATAATTTCAGAAATTTAATTTTTTGATGTCATCACTTTAGTACTCTTTGCAATAATCACCCCACTGTTCCTCCCTTTCATTCTTATTATCCTCCACAAGCTTATGTGGTGTAAATTGGGAAAGTTTTCTGACTGTGGGATGTAAAACACTGTCAACCATATGCTAATAAAATCTTGAAAAAGTCTTTAAAGTTTGATGCATCTGTGAAAATTCTTGTAAGGTTGTTTTAATGACTTTTTCCAAAACATCCGGATTTTGTTTGGAAAACGCTCCTGTTCATCATCTTTCAACAATGGATTACTTTCAGCTTTGCGTTCCATTTCGTTCTTGTTTTTCAATTTTTGTCATTGAAGTATTCATCGTTATGTTCTTGTTTCTTGTCTTCTCTATCGCTATGTATCAGCTTTCTGCTGAGCGGGGAACATTATCTGTGTAACTGCAAAGGTGACTTTTCTTCACAGTATGTGACAGCATTCAAATGCAACAACAAGAAGGGATATCGATGAAGTTGATATCAATGGCTTTGTTAGATCTTTGGTTGGTTTAAACTGAAATTACAATAGAAAATCTATTTACTCAATGTAAAACTGCCACAAAGTGACAAAATAAACCGAAAATGAAATTAAAACACGCACTGAAAGTTACATTGTGTCATTGTGTAGCACTGTAAACCTTGAAGAAAGAAAACTCTGTTGATGCAGGAGAAAACTGCACAATGTGCACTCCACCAGGTGAAACTTAAAAGTGACTAAATAACTCTGGAACCTAAACTTAACTAAAAAATAAAGATGCAAATAAACACACTACTTTTCCCGAGGGGGCCTAATTAGAGGTGGCTATTGTTCTTGGTTGTTAGATACAAATCCCTGTCCCTAAGTGGGAGCTAACTAAGCAAATCACTTACCATACACTTTAGAATCATACTTAGTACCATACAGAAAACTAAGCACGCAAAGAAAATGACAACTTTACAAAGTAGCAATGTAACAAGTTACATATCCTATTGAAATGTCCAAACGAATAACCTTAATTCTGTGTCTCCTGGGTATTTGGGGTCATGTTTCCCTTTCTTGAGCATTCCCCTTCAACCTGAGGGCAGAGCTTGTCAATTGGTCTCTTGTAAATAGCTCATTTGGTGTGCACTTTCACTGAGCAAACTTTTATCTGGGAAGGTCTTAACGACTATTCCTAACAGCCAGAAATTGAGATGAGAAGCTTCAGTGCCGACCAAAACAACATCCTCGACTGCCCAATTTATATGAGGGTGCACCCACTTTTGTCTGTGTACATTTCTGTCACGTGATCTCTCCTGGCTACGAATCGTCTACACGCCAACAGGAACGAGTCCATGTCTAGACTGTGCGCTACTTCAAAGTGGACAGCCCAAATCGCCAAGCATGTAAAGATGACACTGTATGTCTTAACTAGGCCATGCCCACGACAAACTTGAAAAGGCCCAAAATTGTCCACACCAACTGATGTAAAAGGAGGCTTGTCAGGCAAAATGCGAGTTTCTGGGAAGTCACCATCTTCTGTCGGCAAAGAGGCACCTGTCGATGGCAGCAGTTATTTATCCGCAGAGCTAGAACAGCTACAGAAGCGCGCCATGCGAATTATTTTTCCTTTTGTTCCATATAGCGACGCATTACATCAAGCCAACTTGGAGACGCTCTCTTGACGCAGGTAGTCTATCACAACTAAGCTTTTTGATTCCATCACTTGTAACTCAGACCATAAACTGCCTGAGCTCTTGAAACCTCGTAGCAATTGTGAATCCCATTTAAGACGAAAGAGGAATTTTAATGTCCCTCTGGCTAAGAGGAAGAGGCTTAAGAACACATTTATGTAAAGCAACTGTAATTAAATTCTTAGCTACATATGTGTACATTTTTCTTATATTTTTGCTCATATTTTTGTTAGATTTAATTATTGTAACGATTAATCTAATTCAGCTTTTGGCATCCCCTCTCTTCTCTATCTAAATATATTCTAATATGCCATAGGGAAAAAAACAAAACAAAACAATAATACTACTAATAATAAAAATTATGAATTATTCTGTTATATAGAATAGAAAAACTAATGGCTAAAAGTTAAAAAGATAAAATCTGTTAGCAAAATCTTAAAAATTATAAGCTGAAAGTTATTTATAATCAAGTAAGCTAAAAATACAATCTTATAATCTAAGTGGTACAAAATGCATTTTTAAAAAGGTGAGTCTTCAACTTTCTCTTCAAAGTGTCAATTGAAATGGATTCCCTAATAAATCTTGGCACAGCATTCCATAACTTACGTGCACCAAACAGAAAGGCCCGTTCACCAAGAGTTGCCTTGGGCTTAACATTCGGATAACTAAGTAGGGTACTGTCGCTAGAACTTCTTAAATTATATTTAGATACAGGCTCAGGAGTAATTAAAAAACTTAAAACAACATACAGTATTACATAAAATAACTAAAAGCAGCCCTTGTTAATTTCGCAAAGCTAAGTGCACAAGGAACTTATCTTATTTTATCTAACATTTAATACAAAATGACTTTAATCTTAAACTAGTCTTAACCAGAAGCGTGTGTACTGCACCTTACCTAGAGACTTATAAAATTAGCTGTATGTAGATATCCTAAACTTATAGGCCATATCTGTGTTTTCAAATAAATAACGACTTTAACCTTACGGAAAATCGTGTGAACTAGCACGAATTATCCACATCGGCTAAACCTATGTTTTCCGGCACCTATACTTAAATATCCCCTGTATACTAAGGCGAGAATTGAACTTATCTACTTCAACTTTCCCTTGGTCCACTGAGGTGGGAGCATGCTTTTAGCAAACTTTTGGCTGATTCTTTTGCTTCATACTGGTCCCAAACTTCGAACAGCCTCGCCTGCAGCTCGTGGTACTTACGTCGCTGTATCCTATTCGATTTCCTCTCGGAAACAAGACGGATCTGGAGGGCGGTAAGCATGTCATTAAAGCCGTTGAAAAATGGGCTCTATCTCTTCTTCAGGCAGGAAAGGTAGCGCCATCATCTTTTTAACGAGTGAGTGCGTACCACGGTCATGGGTATACGATGATTGAAGGCCGAGTTCCTGCACCTGTAGTACGGATAAAAGATTTGGCTACTGATTCCATTTTTAGGGAGTTCTAATCTCCAATAAACTTATTGCCTTGAAGGACAGTTTTGTAAAACTTTTTTAAAGCATTTCATATCTCCCCCAAACAATTATGTCCCTATTATGACCAAGTTTTTCCTACTTTTATTATTCACTAACCTTTCTCCACAGGGATTGGGTCCAGTGGAATACACAACTGTGCAGCCTTGCATGGGGGATGACGTCTCTTAAAGTGGCCCATACTGCTCTCTCAAAATCTAATGTCACTTGTTGAACGGCTGGGGCTGAGGGGAGGATCTTGAGTAGCTGCTTGAGCACTTTTTTGTAGTTGTTTTCTTTTGTCCTGACATCAGTATGAAGTGGAGAGGCACTTGTTTTGGCATGGTCGTCAGTCCTGACGAAGGCATTCACGGTCATCAGCTGGTTGAATGGGTGCTGACATTGCTTGAAAGTGTCGTCTATATACCAAGACTTGGCTCAGGCAAGGTGCTGTAGCTGCTGATCAGTGGCGAACATCAGATGCCTACGGAGGCGGACTTGTATGTCTCCTCGCAGGAATCTGTCTGGAATGTGGTCTCCCTCTACATCGAACTTAAGGTCTGTTGGATCTTGTGGTCTCAGGTGCTGTTGGTGTCGGTTGGCAACTCAGGCTATGTATTCCCACTTCGGAAAACACGCACAAGGGACGTCCTTCAGGTCTTCTAAAAGGACCTCTTCCACAATGGCGGATGCTGGTCTGAATATATCGACTGCTGCTTTGGGCTTGACTTTTGCTGTAATGCTGGCGGCTAATGTTGCGCCAACTTCTGCTGTGTGGTTGTGGGCGTTTGAACCAATAGAAATAGCAGAATGAGCCAGACTGTTCAATTATACTGGCTTTGCATGGATTTACCTGGTAAAAGATATACACAAAAGGCAATTTGGACCCATTCGCACTAGGGGAAACACTTTTTCTTTGTAATAAAGATGTAACGTTTGCCTGATAAGGATAAATACTTTCCAGTGCGGAGTAAATCCTGCCAGGTTTTCAAGACAAAAAACTCACATTTTCGTCTGCTAGTGCGGAAAAGCACAATTCCATAGTTTGAATGTTGCCAATAAATTTTATTTAAAGCAAATGAAATTATATTCACCTTGGGTCTTCTGGTGCATATCCAGTAAGTGGCCTTGACTCGACGACGTTTTACACCATAGCTGTATCCCCTGCTGTCAATTAGTTTTGGTCTGCCTTTTCAAGTGGAGTCTTCAATGATCTTAAATTTTAAAGCAAATGGAGCAGTTGATGGTTCTGGTGTTTGTTCAGTGATGGATGATTCATCACGGGTGGAGTCCAAGATTGGTCAATGAGAGGGTTCATCCTCCACAGTGTCCTGAAACAGTTAAACAAGGAAAATATCAGAACATGTAAGTGAATTACATTAAGTGTTAAAGATACATGGCGACGTTCAAATTCCCTTTAAAACCGTTCAAGACTTACCGTAGTTGACTGGGCCGGTGCATTGTAGATTGTCAACTGCAGCGAAGCACTGTGGTAGGCCCGCGGGTGATTACAAGAAATGCATTTGTCGGCCATAGTTGATCGTTGAAGTAATTGTTTTCGTGGAATATACAATGTAAAGACATGCTCGAATGGTGATCAATGATCGGAATGCTTGTTTTACTATTCGTTCTGCTTTTTTACACAAAGATGGTAAGGTAATTGATTCTTAAAGATCATATTAAATTCATCTTAATCGTGATTTGTTTTCTCTTACTGAGGTGATGACTTGTGCCAATTATTTGCTGTTAAATGGATTACAATGGCTCACTCGTGTGTCTTCTAAGAGGTTAAGTTTCTTTTGTTTACCTATTCATACACCGCTGTCGATGAAACTTTAGTTTTATGTTAGTTAAAGATGATAGAATTGAAATAAAATTTCGGCAAACCCTCGCTAACTTGAACCTCGTGCTAACTCGAACCAAGGTCAATTTCTTCTGGATTTCCTTCTCACATTTACTGTAATGTAAGAACACTCCCGCTAACTCTAAGTAATTTTGGTTTCCCTTCATACCATTTCTATACAATTTTACCCTCGATAACTTGAACCATGTTATAAGCGCGAGAAAAGTCTGGAAACAAAATCTTATAATTAATGCTGCACCATGATTGCCGTATTGCGGTTATCAAAAGCTTCACATCTTTTTACGGCAACAGGATTAAGGAGTATAAAATATAGATATTGCTGGTGGTTTATGGATACAAACGAACTCTAAACTTTGAACTAATGTACCCAGCAAATTTGGCATGTTGGCGAACTGGAATGTCATGCCGGAATTCAAACTAAAAAAGTAGCGCCAGAAACCGGCGTAAAGCGTGACAGGTTTCTCTCGCTGTTTTAAACCACTTTACATCGAGCTAACCAGCACGCAGGTTACGTAGTACTTTGTCTGTGTTTTGGTAAAAAATCTACAAACAGATTAATCCGACAAACACAAGCTCTCGCCATTGCGTAAATAGTTCTCACATCGTTCAGCAATGCATACTGAAATTAACATATGGCGTTCTCAACATTATGTAAATAGTTCTGAAATACCTTCATCCATGTTCCTATCTCTACTCTGTACCCGGATAACATTTACACTTTTAGAAAATAGATATGACATGTGGAATGAACTGACTATTTTGTGGAACGATCTGACTATTGACTGGAATGATCTGACTTGGAACAATCTGACCATGGAACAAAATGACCGTAAATCTGTTTGGACTCGCTCAGGTACGAGGACACTTTGAATATCCCAGTTGCTTACTACACTTGTGGATCAAAAGCTCTTTTTTCCGATAATAAAATTTAATGCAAAATATTTCAAAATTTACGATGCTAACTTTGTGATCGCTGAGGTATATACAGACTTCAATATCATGGACAGTGAATAGGTAACTCTAGCAGAGGCCCTTCGATCTTCCTAGGTAAATCGCAGCTATGGAATCCAAGGTGTGTCGTGTACTAAAGAGTGTTGTATGTGACCAGGCAAATCAATTGGAGAATGAACATTTAGGCAAAATGACTTCAATGCATTAACAGATTACTATGCATGTGGTTTGCGTGCACTGAATATCTGCAGTCTACTACTAGTATTAAAACACAGGAATAGCTGCAGTACAAGTAAACAGACCCAAAGGCAATTTGTTTGTACTGAAGTTAGTTTCCCTATAAAAGAATAAGACAATTATGGAAAGACATTGAGGCAACGTGGACAGTTTCCAAATTTTTTTTCATTTTCATATGGTGACAGAGAATATGAACAACGAGACCTTCAGTCTTCAGAGAACAAGAACATTACCTTCCTAATACTAAGGAGTCATAATGGTGTTGAATCGTAAAGTGCAACTTTAAGTTACAAGAGATTGAAGCAAACGGTACAATAAATTTTTACTAACAGGAGTCTATGAAGCTATTTCTTTGGACTAACAAGTTACTGTTTTGAATCACACAATTTCTTTTACATCAGTATTTGTCATGAACTTTATTGACCTAAGTGTTAACAGATTTGGCAAGAGCTATTACGAATTAATAAATGTGTGCAACATTTCTCTAAGGCATGAACGTCTGCTTTTGTACTACTTTGAGTTGGACACTTTCATGGGTTTTTATTGTGCCTTAATGGGAATTTCATGGTCCATCAGACATTTCATCACCTGTGAAATACATGCTAGGCTGTGATTGCCTTTTCAGGTGTCATGAAATGTATCGGTCTAAAATATGAGATTTTCATGACCCATGAAAATCCATATTCATGGCTTTGTAAACTTTTCATGGTCCATGAAAATAACTGGTAAAGAATTTCATGGAAATTTCATGACTTAATTTAGCACCATGAAATCTGAAATCGCTCTTTTTCATGGCCATGAAAACGGGTTCATGGGTTTTTCAACACATTTTCATAGGATTTTCATGAAAAAAGAGTTTCGTAGTGTAGCCTTTATTATAACCCTGATGGGGTGCAGGGAGGCTATGTCGAGGAACGTACTATTGATTTCTATTTTTAATACAAAGTTTCCTATTTTCTGAATCCTGAGTTTCTTATTTTCCTATTTCTTTGCGCAACCATGCCGCTGGACACACTGTTTTACATTGCTGGCATTTTAACTTGACATTACAGTGAGTTTGACTTGTGGAGAAACTGAACGTTAATTTCAACCTCTGCAGTTTTTTTGAAGGTTTAGGCATTAGACTTATAAGTTACACAAGTCTTGTCTGGCAGTACAACCTGGAATTGCAGATTATGCAAGACCATTAGGGTTGTATTATAACAAGAATTGTACGAAGAAACAGAGATGAAATGTAACAATGCTTTGCCTTCATTAACTTCGCTCAAAATTACAGCAATTTAAAGAAAATAAATAGAGTGGGAAAACTGGGTCCTAGCCCTGATAATGGCATGGTCCACCCCACGATCCTCGTCTGTTTGCTGAGTGAACCTGTGAAAGAAGAGAAGAAGAAATAACAATCAGGAGGAGAGGGTGGGAGCATTGTTCTATTTTGTCTCCATTTATTCGTGCAATTCATCTTATACTACAACCCTATGGGTCTTGCATAATCTGCAATTGCACTTCATAAATGTGACCTCAATATAACAGTGCTAATTCAAAGCCTATGCCACACTAAGAACTGTTCCGCATGGACAGGCTTGTAGTAAAACCTTCGAAAGGTGTTATCAGTTGAGCAGTCAGCCATTCTTATAGCGGAGCACCATAACTAAGATAAACTACCCATCTGAGAAATTTTGGTTATGACGTCAGCGTACGTCCGTCCGTACGGACTTTCCGGGTAGTGGAAAGTAGTCCGCATGGACTCTTGGGGTAGGGGAAATTAGAGATTTTTTGACGGGAAATCGCATGGCGCAACGTCGCGCAATTATATCGCGCAACTGGTTTTGAAAAAAGAAATTTCAAAGCAACTTAGCAAAAACATTTTTTGACAGAGCCTTTATAACTTTTTATTACAACTTACGAAAGCTATTATGTCAACAAACAACAGCAGAGAGATTTTAGCGTGTAGACGACAGGTTTTAAGCAGAGAGCAAAGAGAAGGTGAACTGCAGAGAGCAAGATTCAACACGTGTAGAACAAGCGAAGACGATCGCCAATGAGAGTGCGTTAGAAGTAGAAGAAGAAGACAAAATTTTAGCGAAGAAAGTCGGCAAGTAGAAAGAGTCAGAGCGAGAAGAAGGAGAGAAAGTTATAGTGAAAAACGCCGGCAAGCAGAACGAGACAGAGCTAGAATGAACAGACAAAGGCAACGCGCAAGAGAAATACAATGGCAAAGAGAACGGCAGCAAAATAATGACATGATGACAGAATATGTTGTGTTAATGTCACTATGGCCCCGCGTTATTGACATTTTGATTTCGAACTGATCTCGGACGCAAAAATT